GGCTGAGTTCTTTATCTCTTCATTTGATGTTCTAGGGTTTCAGGATTGTTGATTCTCTGTTTGGCTTAGTTTTTCGGATCTTTGTTGTGGAGGGACGGCGGGGTGCTTCTGCCTAGACCGCCATCTTGCCGGAGTCCGCTGATTTTTTTTTTTTTTTGAGACCAAAACAATCCTGTTATTTTTCTTTTGAAAAAGGAAAGAATAGAACCATTTTCCTAGATATTTTATTAGCCACATTTTAAAGTTCCAAATTAAAATCCATTTTACATTTAATAGAGACTGAGAATCCATATTCTCCGCAGGCTGGAGTCAGACTTTTAAAGTGTAGAACCAATTCGTTGTGGTGGAAGGCTCTGTTTGTTTCTAGAAAACTAGAGAAAAAAAGTTCGTTGGAATCAGCGATGATGACAGCTGACATTTATAGAGTGCTTATGACATCCCTGGTACTGTTCTCAGGGGTCTGTGTGTAGTTATGTATTTTATTAAAGATGGGCTTTTTCCTTAAATGTAGCGACTTTCATAATCAGCCTACGGTTTAATGTTTGGAAAAAGTGCAGCGTGTTGGAAATACATCAACCTCCAGACCAGGAGCAGGTGGAGCAGGGGGGACCGTGTGTTCACCACGGGGAGTTGGGTGACCCCAGATCAGTTTCCCGTCCCACGCTCAGCCCCCGTATCTGTAGGATGGAGAAGATGATGTCCGTCTGTCAGGAATAGCTGAGACAAAGCAGGTGCGGCCGAGCCTCAGCCGTCCCCTCTGCCAGCAACTGCACGGACTCAGAATGGGTCTAGCTCCTGCTGCCCGAGCTGAGCCCCTGGGGAAGCCGTGGGTGCTGAGCAGCACATCTGCCTTGGCTCTGGGGTTGCGCTCTACCGGCAAGATGCTTGTTGGGAGAGGACGTCTGTTGGTTGCTCGGCCACATTCTCTTGGTGGAATTGGGGAGGCAGTTGGCAAGTGTTATGTAAAAAGTATTATTTCTCTTTATTTCTCTCTTTCATATTTTTAAAATTTTTAACCAAGCACACATAGTTAAATTCTTGGACGTTAAATGTCCCCATGATGTGTAAGCACCGACCCCGTTCCTGGGATGTAGAAGGAGCCCCCAGGAGTGATCCTCTGGACCAGTGTCAGGGCTGGGGTCTGTGAGGGAACTGTGGCCCCCAGAGGAGTGCTGCCAGCAGACACACAGCTGAGGCAGACACAGTCCTAAATTCTGCATGACCCCACGAACTGTCTGTCGGGGCGTGTACCTTAGTTTTAAATCTGAGAGCATCCTTAGTGGGGACGGGGTGGGGTCCTGTATCTATGACGTGGCCATGGAACATGGGCGCACACGTGTCATCCTGCACGTTGCAGCTGTTCAGTACATTGTCCTCTTCGGGGGAGCGGACACTTTGTAAGGCCTCTACCCTGCTTTACCGGCCCTATGGGCCCACCCCTGGGATCAGGGATCAGAGTGACCCAGCTGCACAGGGGAAGGCCAGCCTCCTATGGGCCCCAGAGGCTGGGGTGGGGCCTTTACGGAGCCCTGGGGGGCGCCCTGTGCTGGAATCTGGATGGAGAATCAGGGGTGCTTAGGACTAGCAAAGGTGAGGCCAGGCCGACTGGTAGACCTGGGCCGGGCAGTGTGTCTCTAGGGACATGGAGAGCCACCACTCTCACTGCCCCGTCGGGCGGGGACCCCCACTCTGGTGCTCACTCCCTGAGGGGCTGTGCACCCCACCCTGTTCTCTGTCCCTGTGTCTCCGTGATCCTTCTCACAGTGTCTTAAGTGTGCATTTGCCTTTTCTGTCAGCTGCCTCCCACACACGTGTCAGCCCCCTGGGGAGGGTCACATTTGTTCACTCTCTGGCGGCCCCTCACAGACACCCCGGTGTACAGGGGGCACCCAGGCATTGTCGAGAGGTGGCTCCCCAGATGGGGGTACGGGGTAGCCAGCGCCCCTCCTGACTGTGGTCCAGGGTGTGGTGGTTGCTGTCTTCCCCTCTGAATGGGGCAGAGGACAGCAGCCTTCTCCCGGCCCTGGGCCCCTCAGGCTCTGTCTCCACACCCAGAATGTTCTCTGAAAGCTTCGCTCTCATCCTGGCATCCTGTGCCAGGTACCATGCAGAGAAAGCTAAGGGGTGTCTCTCTTTATTGGGTGCTTGGAATCCTTGCACAAACGCCTGTGGCTCCAACATTTCTAACTCCTCCCTTGCTCCCTCCATCTGCCCCTTTCCTTCCTGTTAACTAAGACATCATGACCTTTTGGTTAGCAGCTGTAGCTCATAACCACTGTGCCACCAGGGCTGCTGCTTTGTGAGTTTTTTTATTGTGGTAAGATTCACACAGCATAGAATTCACCATCAGTGACATTGAGTACACTGACAGAGGAGCCCTGGTGGCGCAGTGGTTAAGCACTCAGCTGCTAACCAAAAGCGGCTCTATGAGTCGGAATCCACTTGATGGCAACGGGTTATGATGTTAATGAGGCAGGACTCAATGTACACGATTGGGCTGTATCTTGTGTCAATCTCTTTGGAGGTGTGAGAGTTCTCCTAGCCCCATACCTCAGACAGGCGGCTGTCCTGTCCTGCGAGGCGCCGGCGTGTGCAAGCACTGGGGTGGCACCCTCGGCAGGTTTGTGGGCCGTGGCTGCCAAGTGTGGCTGCCCGGCAGGAAACACCAGGAGGCGCCATGGCCAGAGCTGCGGCAGCTGGTGCTCCAAGCCCTCCTGTAGGAGGTGTGCCTCTCCTGACTCATGGCCACCCCACAGGACAGTGTAGAATTGCCACTAGGGGTTCCAAGGCTGAAGTCTTTACAGAAGTCGGCTGCCACGTCTTTCTCCTGCAGAGCAGCTGCTGGGTTCAAATCACCTAGCTTTCCCTTAGCAACCAAGTGCTTAACCACTGCACCACCAGGGCTCCTTAAATATGTGACCAGAGAGCCATAAATATAAATGTATAAATAATATACTGATGCTCTAAGCCTCTTGAATACTTTTAACAAGAATATGATTCTGCTATGAGATGGGAATATATTTTTATAAAAACACCAGTGTACTATAAAATGTATGAACAGATAAAAATATAGTTCTCCTCTTTATCATAAATACTGCTATTTATACTGCTACCTATAAAAGACAGTCATCATTTAATTAACAATAATTTTGAAAATATATGAGGTTTTCCTCGTAAACCACATGGCACTGTTGCCTTTTTGGAATTTACTCCATGGGCAGTGGGGGAACGGTAATGCTCCTGTTAGCTAAGTGTGCGCCAGACTCTGCCCTTCTATGTCTTAACTCAGTCTTCTCCACACCCCACGAACAGATACTGTGGTGCCCCTTCCTGGGGCCTCACCCATGGATCTGCCGTGCAGGCGAGGCCATGCTTACCCCGAGAGTCCCTGCTGCCCCTCCCTCCATCTCTGTCTCCCCTCTCCACCTTCCTATCTCTCCGTCTCCCTTTCTCTCCACCTTCCTCCCTCTCCCCGCCCAGTATCCCCCTCTCTCTCATGAGGCCATACCAGGAGGCAGTACAGACATATGGATGCATTTGCAGACTCCCCTGTCCAGTTATTCATGCCTCCTTCTCCCCAATTGCTTTTTCTGCAGGAGTTTGTTCAGCTGGCAAAGAGACTGGTTAGTGACCCTGCGTTAGAAAGAGAAATGGTGGCCAATGGGAGGGAGTACGTGAGGAGGCACCATTCCTGGCAGGCGGAGCGTGTCACCTACCAGCGCCTGGTCAGGAGGCTGGAGGGGAGCTGGGAGGACTGAGCAGACGCACCTCACGCTGCTTCCCAGAGTCTCGGCCGCCCAGCCTGTCATACCCACCCTGGTGAATCGTAGTGATGCTGGGCCCCCTGACACCAGCTTTGTCCAAAACCTTTCTGTGCTTCCTGGGATGTCCAGGCTTTCTTACCTGTCAGTCCTGAGGGAGCTTCCCCAGCTGACTGGGGAGAGAGACGGGTAACTGCTTTCTAGGGGACTTGGGAGAGACTAGCTGCATGAGGACCTCCATGTCCTGAAGGCAAGGATTGCTTCTGAACAACTGAAAGTGCAAACCCCTCTCTCCTGTCTTCAGAGACCCCCACCCCTCACTGCCGGCTTTGAAAGCAAGCACAAACCACCCCTCAGAAAAGTCAGCTGAGAGGAGGCCTGGTGGCATCTCTGACCCCTCTAGTCCTCACACGGTCACCTCAGTCTCAGTTATGCGGCTGGAAGGCTGTGGGTGGTACCTGGACAGCCAGCCCAGCTCCCCATTGGCACGGCCACCCCCTGGTCTCTGAGTTGGAACCAGAGCCACACTGTCGCTGGGAAAATATGCCAGTGCCACGTGACGGAGCCAGGCATTTGGGTTCAGTGCAGGCCTCCCTCCCTCCCAGCGTCCAGGAGCTGGGGGCTGGGACTCACAGAAGACACAGCAGGGCTAGCCATGTGTCATCATGACACAGGGCTAGCCATGTGTCATCGTGACGATCACCTCGTCTGTCCTCCGTGTCCTTTGGGCCAACTCATCCTCCCTGAAGTTGTGCTCCCTCTCCTTGGGCAGCTGTCTCTCTGGGGTCACCTCTGTGGAATAACAGAAGCAGCACATGCCATCAGACATTGCAGTACAGGAGGTGGGGTGAGAGGCTGCACTCCATCTTTTTGGTGGACAGCATGGGCTTTGAGTAGGGGGAGCCTGCACAGGAGGCTCCGGGGCCCCACTGGAGGGGGTCTTGTTGCTACTGGCCTCCTGGAAGCTGGAGGAGGAGTGAGCACAGTTAATCCTGCTTTATTTAGGTCTGAGGACATCTTGGAGGGTTTGCTTCCCAACCATCATGTTAAAAAAAAAAAAAAAAAAGGGAAAAAAACCTACATCTTGTTAGAAGAACAAAGCTCACATTAAACTTCTTAGACCATAGTCACTTAGACTCCAGCCACATCTGGGCATCAGGACAGTGGGAGAAACAGAGCCGTGAGCCCTCATGGAATCTGGAATTGGTTGTACCACCCCAAGAAAAAGTGCCAGTGGGTCCCCAACACTGCCGTTTGTAGAATGCTAACCACCCGGAAGCGGGGCTCTGTTCCTCACAGACGGCACTTTGGCTGCCTGGCCCCCTGTACCTCAGAATCACCACTTCGTGTCTTTGTACCCATGTCTAACGTACTTTGGGAAAAGGCATGTTTTTAAAACAATAAAGTCTGTCACCATCCCCTGTACCAAACAGCTGCTGTCCATTCTTGTTGTAGGTGGGTTCTGTAAAGAAACAGGCCCCTCGAAACCCAGGAGTCCTAACAGGAATTTCAGATGCAAATACTACTGTAGTACCAAAATTTAGACGGAAAAAACACCTTTCTGTAAGTGTCCCAGATGGCTTCAGCTTTGTACCCAGTTAAGTTCACGCTGAAACATTCTGCGTGTGGTTTTCAGTTCAGGCTTGAAGGGGCTGCTGTAACCCTCAGACTTGGAAGGAAACACTTGTCATGTAGCATAGCGTCCTATAGCAAAAGGCAGTGCTTTCACCTGGCTGTATCTTCTCCTCCAACATCACACTCTACCCCCTTTCACACTCGCATAGTAAAGCGGTAAGCCAGAGCATCTTTGTATCTGAAAGTTTCGTCAGTAGCTTAAGGCTTTAGAAGCAATGGACTGTGTTGTTGTTAGCTGCTGTCAAGTTGGCTCTGACTCACGGTGACCCCATATACAACAGAACGAAACGCTGCCCGGTCCTGTGCCATCCTCATGACGGTTGGTGCATTTGAGTCCATTGAGTCATGGTCCAAGGTGGCTGCTGCAACTCCACCATCACACCTGAATTCCAGGCTGAAGGAAGATGGAAGGTGGATACGAAAACAGGGCTCCTCCCTCTCGGGACAGCTCCCACTTCCGTTATGCTCCCTCCCCTGTGGCCACATCCAGCTGCAAGGGGAGCGCAGAAACGCAGGCTTTATTCTGAGCAGCTGTGTGCCCAGTTAAAAATGAGAGGGTCTATTGCTCAGAAAGAAGGAGCCCTAGTGGTGCAACGGTTAAGCGCCCAGCTGCTAACTGAAAGGTGGGTGGTTTGAACCCACCAGTAGCTCAATATGAGAAAGACCTAGCAATCTGCTCCCATAAAGATTACAGCCTAGGAAATGTTATGCGCCAGTTCTGCTCTGTCACACGGGGTCGCTATGAGTCAGAATCAACTCCAAGTCACCCAACAACAGCAGCATTGCTCAGAACGAAGGGGAGAATGGTTATTGGGGGGCCAGCTGGCAGTGGTGGTAACCACTGATTTAACCTGGTTTTGGATTCTGAAGGGGTGATACAGGCATCCTACCCTTTGTTAAACACGGAATGCCTTTTCATGCCAAGAAAAGTTTTTCCACAAGAGTTTAACAGTTTTAATTTACGTTTAAGGCCATCAATACAGCTCACCTTTCTCCCCAGGATCCTCATTGTAAAACAAGTTCCTGGCAGTTCCCAGCCAGCAAGCTGTATTGATTAGTCCCTCATACCCTGCAGCTTTTAATGAAAAACCCAGAGCAGAAGAGTAGTAGGTTTTCATCTGGATCTCTAAAAGTGTTGTTCCTTTGTGTGAGGCAAAACACAATCTTGAAAAACACAATGATACTGAACCTGTGTGTGTGTGTGTGTGTGTGTGTGTGTGTGCATGATTCCCTAGATGGTACAAGTGGTTCAGCTGCTAAAGGTTGACGGTCTGAACCCACACAGCAGCACCATGGAAGAAAAGTCCTGGCAATCTGCTTCTGTTAAGATTACAGCCAGAAAAATCCTATGAAGCAGTTCTATTCTGTCACACATGGGATCACCACAAGTCATTCAACTCAACCACAACTAACAGTAACAATATATAGATCTGTGTCTCTGGGTGGGACAAATGGTTAATGTGCTCAGCTGCTAAGTGAAATGTTGGCAGTTCTAGTCCACCCAGGGGCACCTCGAAAGAAAAGCGTACAGATCTACTTCTGAAAAATCAGCCACTGAAAACCGTGTGTAGCACAGTTGTACTCTGACACACGGGTTCACCATGAGTCAGAATCAGCTGCATCCATTTATCCATCATCCATCCACCCATCATCCATCCACCCATCATCTATCTACCTATGTAAATAAAATTTTGGTCATCCTGAATGTTCTCACTATTGCCTTGAATCACTGGTCACTAAGGTCTTAGGAAATAGAAATACTTAAATACTTTCTGAAGGGACCCACAACTTCGAATTTGATTAAAATAGTTTCAGTGGTGGTATCCATCTAGTACAGGGTTCAGGTTCTCAAGGTACTGTTTAAAACAAAAAATCTTGCATCATCAAAATCATCCCTGGAACTCCCCACGTCGCAACACGTTTGACTGTATACACACAGTCCTGTAAATTAAGTCACACGTGTAGTCAGGTTTCAGGACCAGAGAGCTAGATTAAAGAAAGTCAACCTCTGAACATCTGGTTAGCCAAACCATTGTGTTGTTAGATAATCTAACCCCTATCAGGAAGTGTGGAAATATCCCGTTTTCCAGTGGGGTTTATATTACTCTGATTTAATATTGCTTACATAACCATTTGGAGCCCTGGTGGCACAGTGGTTAAGAGCTCGGCTGCTAAGCAAAATGTCAGCAGTTTGAATCCACCAGCCGCTCCTTGGAAACCTGATGGGGCAGTCCTACTGTGACCTATAGGGTCGCTGTGAGTCGGAATTGACAGCAACGGGTTTGGTTTCTTTTGGTTTTTTATGTAACCATTCAGGTCCCTGGTGGCACAGTGGCAGCTGCTAACTGAAAGGTTGGCAGTTTGAACCCACCAGCCAGTTCCTGGGAAAAAAGATGTGACAGTCTGCTTCCATACAGATTTACAGACTTCAAAGGGACAATCCATTAAGACATAACCATAATAAATATCTATGCACAATGACAGGGCTCCAAAATACATAAACTCTAACAGTGCTGAAAAGAGAAATTGCCAGTTCCACAATAATAGGAGGAGACTTCAACACACCCCTCTTCATAAAGGACAGAAAATCTAGAAAGAAACTCAACAAAGATACAGAAGATCTAAAGGCCACAGTCAGCCAACTTGACCTCATAGACATATAGGACACTCTGCCCAACGGCTGCAAAGTACACATTCTTTTCCAACACACATGGAACGTTCTCCAGAATAGACCACATCTTAGGCCACAAAGCAACCCTCAACAAAACCCAAAACACTGAGACAATACAAAGCATCTTCTCTGATCACAATGCCATAAAAGTAGAAATCAACAACAAGAAGAGAAAGGGAAAAAAATGAAATACATGGAAACTGAATAACACCTTGCTTACAAGTCACTGGGTAATAGAAGAAATCAAAGATGGAATAAAAAAATTCCTAGAATCAAACGAGAATGAAAACACATCATACCAAAATCTCTGGGACACAGCAAAGGCAGTCCTCAGAGGTCAATTTATAGCAATAGATGCACACATCAAAAAGGAAGAAAGGGACAAAATCAAAACATTAGCTACACAACTCAAACCAATAGAGAACAGCAAAAGAAGCCCGCAGCCACCAGATGAAAGGAAATAATAAAGATCAGAGCAGAAATAAATGAAATAGAGAACAGAAAAACAATAGAATCAATAAAACCAAAAGTTGGTTCTTGAAACGGTCAACAAAATCGACAAACCATTGGCCAAACTGACAAAAGAAAAACAGGAGAGGGCACAATTAACCCAAAAAAGAAATTAAATGGGGACATTAAAACAAACCCAACTGAAATAAAAAGGATCATAACAGAGTACCTATGAAAAACT